ATATATATATAATTTTAAGAATAATTATCTTAAGTATTATAATTATAATATTTATACACACACATATATATATAGAAAGAGATAGATTGATAAATAGATAGAAAGAAAATTAATATGCATCAGAGCATCTCTTTGAAAATTATTCACCCGAATGAATTCTAATCCTGTTTAGAGATCAAAATAGCACGATTTATCAGAAATCAAACTATCGTAACGATCGATCATCGTTCAACCATGATCACTTCTCTGTCTCTCTCTCTCTCTCTTTCTTATATTCATACTTTAGTAAATATCAGTGACTTACTTGATTTAATCCTAAGGTATTTAGTATATCGATAAGGAGAAAATAAGACAAGAAACTGGGCCAACTATTTATATTACTGCAACGTTTGTCATAGCTTTTACGATGATGCATCCAACATTCGCAAAGAGACAGATACACACACACACACATGAATCAAGCTCGTTATTATTATTCTTATACGCAATAGCAATAATAAATCGACTCGGATTTAGCAATGATTCTTATTTCAGCAATCAGTAAAAGAATTCACTTTGAAAAAATAAATATTATTTTCAATGAAACAAACCATTTCTGATTAATTTTTATTATTAATTATTCGATTAATTAACAAATCCCCTGATGTGTTACGATGATATATGTTTAATTATTTGTATACACAACACACACACACGCGTATGAATTATTTTATATAACCATTTAACGTATTCACGTATGTTTTTATATGTTTTTTATTTACATTTTATTGAAATTTCGGAATAAATTTATTCCTTATATATGTTTGTGTTAATGAAATAGGAAATTGCCGTTGGTGAAGATAAAAATTAAGTCTTGTAATATCTTAGAATATAATTTCTCTTCTTTTCTTATGCAATTGAAAAGCATTGGAAAAAGATAGAGGGAAAGAGAGAGAGAGAGAAAGAGATGAGAAAGAAAGATGAAAGAGAGTGAGAGAGAGAAATTAGCCATTCTACGAGGTATCATAAGATAGAGATCTATTTATGCAGAATGATGAAATCCTATTGTGTGATCTCTTTCACACAGACATCATAGAAGACACACGTTATATTAGATCTATACTAATCTCTAATAGATTCGACATTTGTGTTTTGAGATTAAATGATCAAACATATTCGATCACGTCTCATTTAATCGAACGTTGTTTTCACGCCAATTTACAAATATCATAAGTGTTACATCCATTTTTATACAATTTTGATAATAAAATAAAATTTTATATTGAAATATAAATATGTTATATTGTAATTATATTATCATCATTCGTGTTATTGTTTTATTTGATTGTTTATTTGTACTCATAGTTGACATAGAAATTGTATGTTTCAATGGAATAATCCAGAAAAATTTCAATGACATATTTTATGTATATATATATATATATTTACATGCATGCATTATTAAATTTAATATTTAAACGAATTATTTAAGATAATTGAAATAATTATTTCTTTTTCCTTTTTTTTAATATTTTTTGTTCTTTCGCTTATTATCTATATTATATTTTTATATTCGTATGCATGATTGATCTACAAAATTGTACGTTTTAAATGCGATAATTATTTAACAGAAATAGAAAAAGAGAAAAAAACACAAAATAAAAGAAATGTTACTTTTCTTTTAATTAAAATCTTGAAATACTCTGAAATTGTTGAAATTCTTTTAACGCGTTTAAACGGGATCTTGTAATTTCGTGCCAACACCAGACGACAAACTGTTCACCTTACTCGATAAGCTCGTGCATGCTGAGATTTTCATACTGTTTTTTTTTTATATACTCTCTCTCTCTTTCTTTTACTTTCATCTTGTTTTCTCTTTTTTTTTTTTAATTTCACTCTATCGCTTATTATTCTCGCGTGATTAAGCAAGTCAATATCAGTTCGCATGATCTTTGAATACGTCAAGGTTAATGAGACTCGATTAATCGTATAATGAATTTAGTATTTATTTATTAATATCAAATCATTTTTCATAAATGTACATTAATCTGATTGAATGATAAAATAAACTACACGTCAAACTAATAGTAATGTATGGAATAAAACTGGATTGAACGACAACTAACCTGCATGATTTCGATATAAGTAAATATGTTTTCAGGATTTGAACAAATAGTTGACCTAAATTACAATTTACAATCTAACCAACATTAGAAGTAGGAATTAACAGCAAACTTAAATGATTTCAGCGTAACATAACATCAGAAATGAAACCTAAATGATTACGATATAATACAAAATATTCAAGAATTTACCTAACAACTGACCTCAATTTCAATGTAACACAACATCAGAAATGGTACCCACTAACAGTTGACCTAAATTAAATTTTGATCTACGCAATCAAGTATACTACTACTTACATTTACTTACAAAGGAAGAAATCTATATAATGTAATATTTTACAAAATATATTTATTTTATTTTTCTTTTTTTTTTCTGTATGTGAAAACTAAGATCCGCGATGGTAGGTACGATCTTGTTCCTTCACGTCATGATGATCTTTCTCGAGCGATCTTCCATCCAGGATGACATCAAGGCCGACGAAACTCGCATCTCTTTCTAAACATGTCTCAACTACCTCCTCCTCCTCCTCCTCCTCCTCCTCCTCCTCCTCCTTTTTCTTTCCCATACGTGCAAGAGAATCGAGATCGTTGCTAACAGCATGACTCCGAAATATAAATAATCCTACGTGATGACGACGAGGAAAAAGTACAGAAAAAAAATAAGGGGGGAAAAAATAAATATGAAAATATACGATAGTAACCACCAGTCCTTGAAAAAGGAACGAATCGTTAAACGCTCAATTTTCTACTATTTCTCCTTTTTTTTTTTGTTGCTTCTTTTACGTTTTAGATGATTGAATCATGGATACATACTTGGATCGTAGTATACACTTTTTAAAAAAAACATAAAAAGAAAGAACTTTCAAATACAAACGAACAATATTTTTATTTATTTTCTAATATATGATTTATTTGTTATTTCAAATGAATTTACACGCAGGTACACGGATGCATAAGTATTTTTATAGGACGTTTTTTGGAAAAAAGAAAAAGAAAAAAATAGTAAAAAAATGGGACACGCAAAATTAATAGGATATAAATGAACGCGAAGAGAAAAGTGGCGGGGACAACAAAAAATTAACTTTAAAAATGTATTCGAAATAATACTAAATTATAAGATACACGTCGTAAATGAAATGAATTCGTTTGAAATGATTTAACAAACGATACGCATTGTGTACGCTCATGCAGATTTTCGTTAAATACCGTAAATTAACGAATGCCGTGAAAAAAAAAAAAGAAAAAGAGTAGAATAAAAATGAAATCGAAGTCGAATCGTATAAGTCTATCAGAAATCGCATCATAACAAGTTAGTAAATCAGAAATGGAAAGAACGTGTACCTTATCCCCACCTTCCCTCCTAGGCCACCGATTCGGTATGATCTTTGACAGAAGACAGCTAGTTCCCCCTGTCTCTTCTACCTCTCTCCCTGTCCCCCCCCTCTGTTGGCACCCCAGTTGTTCATCCAAACTCCCCCACTACCAGCACGTTGACCAAGAATCGTCTTTAGCCAGGTTGCTAGCAGCGCATCCTCTTGCACTCCCGTAAAGACTTTCTCCGAAAGACGGACAACTATATAAGCAAGATCGGTTGAGTTTGAAACACGTTAGACGAATTCGTACGAGGAAGACGAACGGGTCAGCTCGTCTTTACGGGTCGATATTTTTGTTCTTATATTATTATTAACTAATTCATTAATTAATAATAATAATAATATTAATATTCTATATAACCAATTTTTCATATTATTATTATTATTATTAATCATTATTTTGGTTTATTGGTCGTTTACATTTTTGTATTCCTCGCGCATTAAGTTAAAGGATACACACGTGGTTACGTTAAATATTTAATAATCGTTCGTTGACACTATTTTTTTTTCCACCCTATATATATATATATATATATATATACGCGAAATACGCATTTTGATTTCGAGATAATCGCGATAGTAATGAGTTTTTAATATTAGGAAAAAAAAGTATCGTCAGAGACGCGTTTTCGCCGTTTTTTTTTTGCCGATTAATTTTGCCGTTTTATTTTGTTTGTTCTTTTTTTTCTTATTTTATTGTTTCACTTTAGATCTTTATCGTTGATCTAATCTTAGCAGAACTATGAAGTCTGCTAACAATCGGCCACCCTTCTTCCATCTGGTGGCTACCCTTATTGCTACCGCTGCTGTTTTTACCTCCGTTTGCGGTGAAGGTATGGATTACTTTTCCTTTTTATCTATTTTAATTGTTATTTTTGTGTATATTATTTAGATTTGTATTTATATGTTATTCTTTGTCCCCCGTCGTGAATTTTATGAGAATTTTAATATAATGTAATATTGATCATTTTCGATAAGTACTAAATGATTGATTCATTTTCTAGATTATATATTTAATGTTTGCAATTAAAATAAGAATATTTTGTGTTCGATTGGAAATTGAAAGATTTTTATTTATTATTATTATTATCGTTTCGTTTCGATGAATGAAAAATGATTTGATTTATTAACAAAAATTTATTTAACAGTTGGATATATAATTTTGCATGATTTTTTATGTTATTCGATATTTAATTTATTGATTAAAAATATTTCATTTGTTGAAATAAAAAGGTTCATCGACCGGTGGCCTAGTTTAAATCCGATGATATCCTTAATGAATTTATCATGAAAATTCGAATTCCAAAGCAACCCGAACAATTTCGTTTCTACGAACCGAAACGCACGCGTGGCGTGTATTCTTGATGAACGCAAATCGTGTCTTGTAATTTCGTTTAGGATCTTACTATGTGTACATAGAAATGTATATAAATGTATATATATATATATATATACATAGCAGGTTGTAAAACCATCTCGAAAGTGTTACCCGTTTCTATTTATTATACATGTATATATGTATGTGATTGTCGTGTAACGTGCCTAAGCACAGCAAAAACCCATTGTATTACGCCGTGAGAATTTAGAGCAACTTCGATTGTTCTTCGTATTCCAACTTACAAATCAGTGTTAATTGCATCCCAGACATGTACCATCAAAAGATACTTTTCAACGTTTGTTAAATCATTTAACACTTCGTTTTCTTCTTTTTAAAACAAATTTCATGCGTTTCCTTATATTTTATTCATTAACTCGTTCCTATTATTATTTCTTGAATATTCGTTCATTCATTTATATTTTTTTCATTATATTATACATTTATTTCCTTTTATTTTTCTTTTCTTTTCTATTATTTATTTATCTTGTTATTTCTCATTGTTGTTTAATTAATCCTTTCGACATAGACAACTACAAAGTAAGTAAATTGTCAATGTAATTGGTCTTCCTTGGACGTTGCAAGCAGTGCTATCAATGAATCAGCCTCTGATCACTATTGTTTCTATCTACACATACGTGCATTTATGTATTTATCTATAGAGATGCATCATGTAGCAATACGAGTTTCACGATTGGACGTCATTAACTTTTGATTACCATCCATCTCTTTTATTACACGAAAAGATTATCTTACGTGTAATATTTATTTCTCTGTCTTTTTTGTCACTTTCAATGATTCTATACCGTAACGAAATCTATTTTGTTAAATCAGGAAAGACGAAAAAAGTGTTTGTTCATTGATTTTTAAAAATCTATGGACAAAAATTCGTCAATGCACGAATGCATTTTTTCTTTAATTTAATCATTTATCAAATATTTCTTCTTACTCGTAGATCTCTCATTGCATTGATTAAATTCTTCGCATAGATATTAACAAAAATGAAATTTATTTTAATTGCAAAATCAAATCATAAATTCCTTATTTTTATTTGTATTTATCGTAAAGTAAAATGACATTCGATCATCTTGAGATCACCTTGATCACTTTCAATGCTAGTAAAACCGCAATACCGCAAAATCTTCGAAGACTAACATAAGACAACTAAAACTAATAAGACGTTGGCTCGAAGATCTTTCTAATCCTGATTAGAATTTGTTTCAGTTTAAATAGAAAGACATATACTTAAAACCCCTTAATCGCGTTTCGTTTAGAAATCTTTCAACGAAATTCTTAGATGATTGGGAAAAGTAATTAGGATGAAGAAAAGTGAACAAAATGAAATGATTTATTAAATGAAAAATTGTTAGAAAAGTATAGCATCATTTATTGAAGTATTACTCTGGTTACTTTCACCGAGTTTACGGTAAATTCACGCAAGAAAAAGAGAGAGAAACAGAAAGATTTGCTTATCTAGTTCAACAGTAGGTCATACTCTAAATCACAAACGAACCGCGACATAATCAAAGCAACTTTCGATTGGTAACACTAACCAGAACCGGTCAAAATAATATCCAATTGTTAAGTCAAAATAAATATATAAAATATTATTTATTTATATGTGGATGCAAAATTTCTAGTTTAAGAAGTTTTTTAATTTCGACAAATAAAAGTAAATTCAATAATTAGAGAAAAACAATTGTTTTTTAGATTATAAATTTAAAACTTTTTAACTTGTTAAGCATAAATGAATAATTGATTTTCAGCACCAATTTCTGGTAGTTACTTACCACCCTCGACCAGTTATGGAACACCGAATCTAGGTGGTGGCGGAGGAGGAGGAGGAGGAGGAGGAGGAGGAATATCAACGAGCTACGGTGCACCAAGCGGAGGTGGTGGATGTGGATTTGGAGGATGCGGAGGTGGTGGTGGTGGTGGTGGCGCACCATCTGGTAGTTATGGGGCTCCTAGTCCTGGTGGATATTCTGGAGGTGGTGGTGGTAATGGTGGTGGTGGCGGATTGTCAGGCAGTTATGGGGCACCACCATCATCCAGTTATGGAGCACCACCATCCTCTAGCTATGGAGCACCATCAAGAGGTGGTGGTGGTGGTGGTGGTGGTGGTGGTGGCTATTCCGGAGGTGGTGGTGGAGGAGGAATATCGAGCAGTTATGGGGCACCATCAGGTGGAAGGCCTTCGTCGAGTTATGGAGCACCCTCGAGCGGTGGTGGATTTGGTGGCGGTTTCGGTGGCGGTTTCGGTGGTGGTTTCGGTGGTGGTGCCGGTGGTGGAAGTGGTGGTGGATACTCAGGTGGCGGCAGTAGACCATCGTCGAGTTATGGAGCACCATCGAACGGAGGAGGCAGCGGTGGAAGACCATCTTCCTCTTACGGAGCACCCTCGTTCGGGGGTGGTAGTTTCGGAGGAGGCGGTGGTTTCGGCGGTGGCAGCGGTGGTGGATACTCGGGTGGAGGAGGATCTCCATCCTCCAGTTACGGTGCACCCTCGCGTGGAGGCGGAGGTGGGGGTGGTGGATACTCCGGTGGTGGACACTCAGGTGGTGGACCATCTTCTAGTTACGGTGCACCTTCCTTTGGTGGTGGCAGCGGAGGTGGTTTCGGTGGGGGCGGGTATGTTTAATCTTTTACTATCATTTTAATATACTATACTCACCCCCAATAGAGACATTAATTGTAGCAATACTTGTTCATTTGATTATTTTACCCAGATCCGGTGGTTATTCCGGCGGCGGTGGCGGTGGCGGCGGAGGCAGACCATCGTCCAGTTACGGAGCACCCAGTTTTGGCGGAAACGGTGGTTCCGGGGGTGGTCAAAGTTACGCTAGCAACGGTGGTTACCAATATTAAAATCACGCTATGTGTTCTACCCGCGAGATTTGGCATCCCCCTTCCTGCCTCCCTACCTCGTATCGCTTTCATGAGTTTAAATAGAAATAATGGGACGCCATGGAAAATACTATCTACGCCTTGGGACCAAAACCACGAGTTCATTTTCTTCTTAACGTTGACCAGCCATGAAACGAAGGGTTGCGATATTGGACCGGGCCAAAATCTCGCGGAATTCAATCCGATCGAAGTCAAACTAAGGATGGAAGATATTTATCTGATAAGCCGCCGTCATTCGTATTATATTATTCAACTGAAATCTTTTTTCTTTACGTCCCTTTTGCCATTTTTTTCTTTTTTTTTCTTTATTTTAATACATTTCATCGAATTTGATATATATATATATTGTTTATCGATCGATACGAATCCAAACGAAAGAGACAAACCGATAATGTTTCATCGACTAATTTTCATTTTAAATACTAAAACGAATCGAAAAATGATCTGATCGACGAATAAGATTTACGAATGCAAACAAAATGAAAAGAAAAAGAAAAATGGAACCTTCCTCTTCGTCCCTTTTTATGTTCACATTAGAAAAAAAACCCTATCTATAACTTATTTATTTTATAAAGACGCTTTTTATACTAATAAAGTAGCTGTGCTGAGAAAAACAATTGATAAATGAGTGTTCTATTCGTGATTACATTATTATCGCCACTACCACTATCATTATCATTGCTAGTATAGATATTATTATTGCTATTATTTCCTGAAAGTTAAAAATGAAATGAATATGTGATAATGATCTTCTAAAGACGTCAACAAGAACCTACATACAAGACTCTATCGTAAGATATAAAAAAAGGTGTGCCTTTAAAGATAAAGTTAGCTCACATCAGTCGTGATACGAGTTACTTTCGTTCTAACTCGATTAATCGATTTATCGATTCATTCCAACTCGCGAAAAAAAAAGCAGAAAGACACAGAGAAAGAGAGAGAGAGAGAGAGAGAGAGAGAGAGAGAGAGAGAGAGAGTGTTATCTTCTTTCTATTCTTGTTTTAACTCGGCTAAAAACGTACTATCGATCATATAAGTCCGATTTAAAAAAGAAAGAAAAGAAAAAAAAAAGAAAAAGAACCAACCATTAGAACTAACTCACCACCGTTATCCTTTCCCATAACTTTCTCTTCTTCTTCTTTATTTTTTTTCTGCTTTTTTCTTGTACTTTTCAGCGGTCACACAACCGCCGTCTTGGTTTCAAAATATCGTCGTGGTTTTACGTTTTCTTTTGGCTAAATCGTTGAAAATAATAGTTGGTACGGTATCAGGGAATAATTAATTAATTAATAATAATAATACCATGTGTTGAATTTTTATACACAGTTTTATTTTTAACATTTACAATCAACATCTTTTTGTTTCGAGTTTCTTTTTTTGTTTTTGTTTTGTTTTCTTTTCTTTATATACTTCTTACTCTTCTTTTTCTTGTTCTTCTTTTTCTTCAGATATACACGAATAATAATATATATATATATGTGTGTGTATATATACGTCATGTATTGTATTATAAAGTACCGTGTAACGCTTTGGTATTTAATTTTAAGTACATTGATGGATATATTGTATAATAATCTCCCATGTTTTTTGGTTGGAAATACGTGACGGGTTTGGTGGAGATCAAATCGGGCGTTTGTTTTTTCTTTTTTTGCTTTCTTTACACACATCGTGATATTCATTTTAATTAATTATTTGTTTATTTATTATACTTACTACGATAATTTGTAGGCGCGTCACGGGGCTAAATGGACTTTTGAATTAGGGGTGGAATTATGTTTGTGATTAATGTTTAGGATATTTATGCGTGTAATCAGGTTTGTTTTATTATTATACAAGAACGTTTTGTAGGTACGCATCATTATTCTTTTTTTTTTTTTTTAATTATTACAATAAATCCATTTTCCTCCTTTTTTTTTAGTTTTTTTTCGTCCAATTGAAACAAAGTATAACGACCTCGAACACGCCATACACGTTTATATATAATATTTTATTGATTTGTATAATAAGTACTCGCGAGTTCATTGATCCGTCGAATGATTTTTTCGGAGACCAAAAATGTTCAAATAGAATTATTATTATTTCACTTAATTGCAATTTTTTGTTCTTTTTTCTTCTTCTTCTTCGTTGGCAAGGATTAATGACGACACATAAACGCGTACACACATTCATATTTCGTGATTTTTCGGCGTACGTACAGCCCGCTTTTTTTGTAATTTTTCTTTTTTTCTTATTTTTTTCTTTTTCCTTTCGTAAATATTAATTACGCGAACGTTTGAACCCCCCTCCCCCGAGTTTAGTATACTTTTTCATTTCCTTACCTTTTTTCTATTACGAAGGAATTAAAAATAGGAGAGGAAAAAATACGAACGATTTCGGCAGGGGGGGGGGAGAGGAGGAGGACAATCTTTTACGCAACTTTCAATTCTTTCCTTTTTTTTCTTTCTTTTAAATAGGAATAAAATTAAAGGGGCGAATTTCTGTTTGTCTTTNTTTTTTTTTTTTTTTTTTTTTTTCTTTTTTAATACATAAAAGAGGAAGAGAAAAATAAAACACCACGCGAAAAGAAATTCGTCCGCTTTAATTGTTATTAATTTTCCCATTATATTAACGAGCATCGCAGCACGTAGCATTATTTATTAATTCATTTTACGATTATGAGAACGCCCATTCTAATACTTGGTAAGTTATTAATTATATCGTATATACATTATGTCTTTCCGTTCTTTCTTTTTTTTATTTTTTGTCTTTTTTTTCTTGTTTTATTATTATTCACCCTTCGCTAATCCTCAATTAATTTCTTTTAAACGCAGCTAATATTTACGTATGTATATATATATATATATATATAAATTCATAGCACACTTCGTGATACGTATAGGTTTTCTTAGGTTATGTGGTCGGCTCTTTATTTTAATATACCGATAATTATAATAGCGAATTAAATGAAAATAAAATTGAAAAAAATTTCTATTAAAATTAATATACATTGAGAATTAATGTGTAGTTGTATGAAATTAAAAAAAAAAAAAACGAATTTTATGATTTATTTTATATTAACATTAATTTCACATATAATTATAAAAAATAAATCTTAAAATATATATATATAATTTGTTGACTTATCCCCGCTATCATAATAAATCGGTACAATTGTATTTATTATTTTTTTATTTGGTTTTTCTGTTTTCCTTATTTCCTTTTTTTTTTATATTCGTTAGCACGACTAATAACCTTAATTGATATGTCGTAGATTACGCACAATTTCAAACTTGATTGACACTCGAGATAACGTTTCTACCTTAAAAGTTTTCATTTTTATATATTTTGTTTATTTTAATTATTACTATTAAATAAATTATATATGCGCACGTTTTATTGCAAGCAGGATAATATAAATAAATGAATGGATGGATCGATAAACGATCTTCTCATAATAAAAAATTAATAATAATAATAATAATAATCGATAAAAAGGAAGAAAAACTTTGAAAAATCTCGAGAACGTAAGAAAAAATTCGTTTGTTAGTTTTAAAATATTCAAGTTTACAGTTCCCTGCTCTTGTTATCGTTTTTTATTTTCCTTTTTTTTCTTCTCCTTCTTCTTCTTTTATTTTTCAACATCATAAAAATAACGAAATGAATCTAACGATAATACATAAACATAATATTCTTCCTTCGTAAACTTTGCAATAACGAAGTTAAAGTATTATCCGTGATATTAATAACAATAACGAGCAACGATGACTATAATGAAGAAAAAAAAGAAAAAAGAAAAAATACAAGAGGATGTTGGCTCGAGAGATTATACAGGGTGTATATAAAATATATCTAACGTAATTTCGATTTAATTAAAAAGTAAAGTAAAAATAAAAATCCGACGTATCGATTGATCAAGACAAATTCATTTATCCAAAAATATTGTCTGATATTATTTTTTTCCATTCGATATAAAGATTTTTTAATCGGAATAATAATGATTTAATAAATCAGTTGATTTTTACAGATTCATTTATCCATTAATTGTTTCATATGTTTCCTTTTTTTATGTTCGATATAAAACATTTCTTATAATTGTAATATTAATGATTTAATAAATCAACTGATTTTGACAGACAAATTTGTCAACAGCCAATTCACTTTCTGTTTTTTCGTCTGTCCGTTGTTGATTAACCAAACTATTAAAATCATTGTCACGTTTACTTTCATAGTGAAATATAATAGCAAGAAACGCAACAAAGTCGAAAGTTTTTACGAGACGCGAAAAGAGTCTTAAATCATGTCCTCACAGTCTTTCTAACAAATTTTCTTTTTCCTAAAAGATTTATTCACACGTTACGGAATTGTTCTCTCCTTTATCTTATTCATCTCTTCCTTCTTTTCAGTTTCTTTCTCTTTTTCTTTTTTGTTCTTTTTTTATTTTTACTTTTAATTCTTCTTCTTCTTCTTCCTGACTTATATTTACTTGGAAAGTTTTCTTCCTCTAATAATTTATCCAAGATAGCCAGACTTTACTCTGCCTGACTAATTACGCTTGCTAATTTATGCTACTCTTAGGATGTTTTTTTAATTTTTTATTATTCTTTGTTTTTTTAATCTTTTTGATTTTAAAAGAACAAAAGGATCGTATTTGTTATTTGCAAACGAACGAAATGATAAAATCATTTGCACCACGAATGTCAGCTAACCAATCGAAACATTCGTCTAATCAGTTAGATCTCGAGCATAAATCGTATAACACACGTGTTTAACATTTTTTGGTATTTTTTTTTTTATTTTTTTTTTCTAATGTATACATACCTGTCTCTTATATACTGCCGTATTGATGTTATGTATTTTTGTTTTTCATTTGTTTATTCGTTTATTTGTAATATATATATATATTATTTTTTGTTTTAGGAACAATTCTATGAAAACGACTGGACAAAACTCACTTTCAAAATTAGCAATGCATGAAATATTATTAATTATGATAATAATAATAATAATATGATGATGATAAATTGTTAACATTTAAGATTCTCAATTAGTCTTTTCGCGTACTTTCTGTACACACACATACACATATATACACGAGTTTACATAACAGGGTATTTAATTAGTCACATGGTAATATTTCTTACAGATTTTAATTAGGACAAAAATAATTATTTTAATCGTGTTATATTGTTTGTTAGAAAATCATTGATAAATATATACCAGTGATCATATTTTAATTTACACTGATTAGTATACTCGATATACTATACATATATATATATATAAATATATAACAAATTATTTATTTATTAATTAATAATTATTAAATTTGACAAATCAGTTGATTTGATCATTTCTTACTATCAAAACAAAATATTTATATATATGTATAGTATATAATGTGTATATATTACATGTACACAAGTAGAGAATTAAATAATTAAATAAATAAAAAATATGACGAAAAAATGATCCACCAATAAACATTATCACTTCGTATCTATACTTCTCACGCATGTATCGTTATTTGATACTCCATTTTCTCTTATATATTTATATATATATATATATTATTATTATTATTATTATTATTTATACATGTATATATATACTATATAATAAACACAACGGATCTGCAGGTTGACCAATCCGCCCGCGATTTACGCTAATTTCATATGAAATATCCACTCGTTAATTGATATGACGAGATTACAAAAATCATTAACAAATTAAATTCCCACGAAATCTCTCTCAACCCACCCAAAAAAGCTTCATTAAATTCTCGCATATTTTTTTGTTACTATCATCAAAATAATCCATCAATTAATTACGAACATAACAAAGTAAATACAAAAACATTCTAATGATGTAAACAAAAAGAAAAACAAAAAATGAAAAATAATAAAATTTTTTATATGCAACCGATATAAGGTTATAAGAAAATGTCACAATATCGAGATTAGATTAATTTAATATATAACGAGTTACGTAATTAATCATTTAATTATAACTTTTATAATAATAATAATATTAACAACAATTCGTAGTTATTTCTCATAATGAAATATCGATCGACGTAATAATTACTTGGCCTCACGAGGAACTCGATTTAAAACAATGCAAACGCGATTCAAATACGTTGAATTTATCTAATAATTTTAATAAAAGTAATAATAATAATTATTATAATAGCAATAAAATAATAATAATTCATTTGGAGGATGCCCTTGAGAGATGAATATTATTCACATCCGGATCAAATATTCATCCTGCGTTCAGATTGTAATGTATATTTTACTTTTCTTTTTTTTTTTTCTTTTCCTTGTTTTTTTTTTTTCGTATTCGAGCAAAGCATGGGAAGAACAACAACAATAACGACGTTCGATCGCAAAGTACAAAAGCTCTTTTTTTAGTTTAGTTTATTTTAATTATTAAGTTATTCCTTTGTTTTTTTTTTATGTATGTATATATATATATATATATATTTGTTAGTTTCTGTAAGAATGATCAGACACGAATAACGAATGATGACTTTAACTTTTTATAATTCGTCGATGAATTATTTTACGATAATCTCTTTTCATTGATTTCATCTTAAAACGAGGTTAAGTTTTTTAATTCTAAACATTTTGGCGGTTCACACATACGTATCATCATGTATTTTTATCTGCTCGATAATTATTATTTTTCTATCCTAATTTAATTACTTTTTTTTCATTCTTTTTGTTGTTTTTCTTTATCAACGAAGCCATTCCGCGCTTCAATAATTAATTCCTAACGAACACCGATCTGCCACCCCACCCCGACCCCTCACAATCTTCCACCACTCCTCCACCTCCCCCTCATTTTTTTTCCATATGCATACATAAATACAATTGGCATGGGTAAAAAGTTTCTTCGTATTTTAAGGCAAAAATTAAACATAATATTTACGTTTGTTAAATATTTTCTTCCGCTTATTAAATCTTTTCCAAATGTTTTCAAATTAATTACCGATCGACGTTTAAATTTCTTATCGATTATGTCAGTTTTCAAATACATGCAAATATTAACGTTACCAAAAAAGTTATACGATCGTAAAAACATTTGATCGGAAAAAATACGAAGAGAAACTTTTTATTCAATTTAACATATACAGTGAGTCCCAATCTTTTTTTTATCGACATATTCTATGAGTATAAATAACAAAAAAGAAAAAATCTTATTAAAATAATAATTTGTAATTTTTATTGAATTTTGTGGGGACAAAAACTGGGACACCCCATGTATGCAATTTCTTATAGGGAGAGGGGCAAAGAGGGGTTCACTTCGCTATGGTAGAAACCGAGCGGATAGGTCGTACCTTTCAGATGTTAAGTCTTCTTCAAATAGTTAATTATTAAACTCTAAATATATTTATATAATATATATATATGATATCACTAAA